TGTTTTCGCAGTACCTGCAAAAATTCCAGTTGCGGTCAGCCTGGAGACTTATGATGTGTGCACAAGAAGTCAGTGGCCACACCGTATGCTTCTATTTGATGAATCACTCTGAAAATATTCATCATTCAATTTCAAGCTCATTTTGTACTGCAGGGGAGTATACTTGCTATGGGATGCAAACGTACCAGCCTGCTTTGCACTTAATGCAATCATCTACTGTCGAGGCACGCGTCGAAGGCTGATAGGTACCTACAGGGCAGGCAACGGGCTCTGGTGTCCCCTCAGGGCAGTAGTGACCTGTTGGGCAAGGCCCATTCCCGAAGGAATCCATTTCCTGAATAAAAGTTACACATATGGGACTGGCGTTTTCGATAGGGGGAAGAAAGCAAGCCCGCACATCCACGGCAACGGGTTGCCGTTAGTACGCTTAGTGATAATTTTGCCTGCAAAGGAGCTTCCTACAAGGGGTGCGATGCTTGTGCTTCTCGTTGCACAGTAGTAGCCGGCAGCGCAGTCTCCTGTGGGTGCGCTCAGCTCTTCCGTTTGGCAATATTGTCCCGCCGGGCACGGTAGGCAGGCGTCGATGCTCTGTCCAAGTTTGTCGGGGTTGTAAGTACCCGCAGGACAATTTTTGTGGAATACTGAGCCTTCTTCACAGTACATACCCGTTCTGCAATCCTTCCGTATCAAGTTGGTCTCGCCCATACCCTAATCACACATCTTGACCCTTAACCCAATAGATGGCCATGCAGGATACTAACTAGGTAAACCGAGGTCACTAACGTTATGCCTATTCAGCATTTAATGATTCGACGCACCGCTTGGTCGCAATAGTACCCAGCGGGACACGGGAGGCATTCTGTTAACCCTTCTGTTTCAGCATGCGTTCCCGGCTTGCAGTACTTAGGAAGGGCGCTGCCCACGGGGGCATACGTTCCTTTTGGGGCAATTACAGCCTTCGCGGTGCTAGAGCCTTCTGGACAGGAGTACCCTCCAGCGCAAGGCCCAACGACAGGCTTGTTGTCGACAACTGTGCAGTAAGCCCCGGCAAAACACTTTCGACAGTCGTTACTGGATGTGCCGCCTTCGTATGGATTGAATTCGCCGTTGGGACAAGCTTGAAGTGCCGTGGCGCCTTCTTCGCAGTAGCCGAGAGAGGGGCAGACAACTCCTGAAAGCGGAGCGCCGGAGCGATGGGGACATTTGATGCCTAATGTAAGGGGAGTGCCCATCAGCGCTTGAACAGCCGAACCCGAGAGAGCAAGTGCAAGGCTACCGTAGGTCGCAGAGTCAGGCAAAATGAATCATATGTTATTTATCCTAGTAGACACTTGAATTGCATCATGCTGGTAGATATGAACCATGATGGAAACCGTTTTACAGAGGTGCATATGCGGCATTTCGCCCTCTTGGGGTCATGTTGATGCTTCACGGGCGCTCTACTGCTGCCAGTGAGGTGCCAATGCGAGATCTGCCATCGCAGCTACTTGTTGCTGCATCGCTTGTTCAGGAAAGTAGGACTTGCATGGTGAGTACAATAAACACTTAAATTCATTGGAATACTTGATCTAGCGTTTCTGCGTCACAAGTACTGCGGTGTAAGCATCTACTGCCGTGCCTCCATACATGAACTGGGACACAAGTATCGTGGTGTGTCGTCCTTCTAGACAGCGGCTCCACGCCACACGGGGATCAAAAAGGGCATATAAATGGATATTGGGGGTATATTCACCAGGATCTTGCAGCGCTATGGGTTGCCGGTGTACATCTTGCAAGCTTACATACACATGCTCGGCAGAGCAGGGAATTTTCATTTCTGTACACACACCTGTGAGGCCGTCTCGAGGAGCCGGGTTTGTGGCTCTTTCCAGGCACAATGTGCCAGCTTCACATTCCCCTGTTGGGTCAGAAAGTCCCGGGGTTTCACAGTAATGGCCAGCAGGACAAGGGTCACAGTCTTGCTCAGACTGCGCTCCTGTTGTCTTCCTGCACACATACCCAAGTATTGAGTCTTCAAATAATTCAATGCATTTTGCGTTCTTGAGAGATATTCAGGTAAATTTAGGTGTTTATTTGAAATACCTAATTAAATTATTCATTAATTTAATAATTTTTAGAACAAAACCTCCAGGGTCACCTCGCAGCCGACATTTGCTCACCTGATCGTCCCTACCGGGCAGGGTCTCGGGTCAGACGACCCCACGGGGCAGTAATGCCCCTCTGGGCAATCATCCGGTTCAGACACCCCAGTGCCACAATACTTTCCAGCGGGACAGGGCTTGCAGTCGTTCGCGGACCCTCCCCCTGGACTTGGGTTGTATGTTCTGTTCGCAGACAACAGGGGCGGGGGCCCCGAGAAAACACGGAGAGATAACGGCCCATATAGCTTAGTAAGTGCTGCCTTTGTGTAGAATTAATTGCTTCATGCCAGCTGACAAAAATCCATCTCCATGTAGGACAGGTCCATTGGTTCTTACTGAGCCGGGCAGGCGACCTGATCAGCCTTGGATGATCCCGGAGGACAAAAGTGCCCCTGTGGATATACTCAGACATGCACACAGCGAGGAGTTGTGCAGCACAGTACGCACGAGGAGGAGTAGGACACCTTCTTTTGTACACAGCGAGGAGATGCGCAACGCGGAGCGAAGTCTCGTTAGCCTGCAGCCCACCTTTGCGCAGGAGCCAGTGCCTGCTTCAGATGTTGTGGCTTCTTCGGCATATGTCCCCGCCTTGGATATCATGCAGTCCGAGACGTCCGTGCGGCGCAGCAAAGGATTGTACGTTCCTCCTGGACAGGGGATTGCCTTCGCAGTTCCAGCGGGACAGTAATATCCTTTGGGGCATTCCTTGCTCTGCGAAAGATCAGCTGCGGAGAACACCACAGCACTTGGCTCCTCTACAATAAGGAGACACATGGTAGCAGGTAAACGGAGAAAGAGAGAGAATAGATTGCCTAGTAGCAGGAGTTTTAGTACTAGAAGTCGTAGCAGTAGTGATAGATAGTAGTGGCGGTGGTAGTAGCGGTGGCAGGAGTAGTAGTAATAGTAATAATATATAGTAGTAGTAGTAGCAGCAGAAGCAGCAGGAGGGGATGAGACAGCCGTCGTGATTCCGTACACCACCCTTCTTTATCACACAGCATGCCGGCTCTGCAGCGATAAGTCGACAGCATGTCGTATGTGGTGACTTCTAGTGGGCAGTAGGAGCCCTGAGACACAGAACAGAAGCAGAGTATTTCTTTCAGGCTCTGCGAACATGATGGGTTGAGGAGAATATCTGGATATCTCTCCTTCATATACCCCGCAGAGGTACCCACCGCCTAAACCCCTAGCCCCCCACGATAGGCCTAAGACAGAAGGGGCTCGTGGGCTATGCCTGCTATGCGTTCAGCGGACTTGCCTTGGGGCACGGTATGCAGTCCTTCTCCCCTTCTTTTGAAGTATAGCCCTTCCCACAGGCAGTCCGCACTCCATCAACGCAGCTATAGCCCGAGGGGCACCTCCTACACATTGAGGGGTGGGTTCCTGGGCCGGGGAACTTTGTGCCGTAGCCATCACTGTATGTGCCTAAGTGCACAAGGCATAAAGAGGATTAAGAAGAAGAGTGAAAGGAGGCAAAGAACTAAGGAGAAGGACACGGAGCTTTGCCGCACTCAGAGTCCCCAAACACCGCTGCATGCGTATGCATTACGGGGCACCTCTGAAGCACCGAATGCTCAGAGATGAGTCACCTTCAGGGCAGGCTTCAGGCGCAGCGCAGCCTTGAG